GAATTCACCATGTTGTCACTCTTGTTTTTGTTTTTGTAGAGAGGTTTGTGCTATAGGGTGCGTGCACTCACCAAAAAGAGAGAGACAGAGAGACAGGAGGTGAGAAATCACCCACTGGGGAGATGGCCACGCCACAATCCCTTCTCCATTCTCCTCCGGAGTTGGGGCATGCACACAAACAGTCAGCACGAGCTTTAAGCCACTGGGTCCGGGACTCGAACCTCGGTTGACTATGTGGGAATCCAGTCGCATAACCATTATTCCATCTGCTGGTCCCCAAAATGAACTAATTTGTATTTCTGGCCTTTTTTAATATCTAAAAGTCTTGGGCTAGCCGGTAGCAAAGCAGTTTTAAGTGCTGTGCATAGGGAAATGGATCCCATATAACTGACTGTGCAATTTGAATCCCAGCCCTGGTGGCTTATAAAACATGGGTGTATGTGCATGGGTGCAGATTCCTGATGGGGTATAGAAATGAAGCACAGGGGGACCAGCAAGTGGCATAATGGTTATGTCGCTGAACTCCAACGTAGTCGACTGTGGTTCGAGTCCCAGACATCATGATGGCTTAAACCTCATGCTAGGCACATGTGCATGTGTGTCTGAAATCCTGAGAGGAGAATGAAGAAGGGATTGTGGCATGGCCATCCCCCATGGGGGCTAATTTCTTGCTTTCTGCCTCTCCGTCTTACAAGCCCTATAGTAAAAATTGCTCTCAAGGAAAAAAAAAAATGTGGAGAGGAGCCAGCAGGTGGCTTGGCGGTTAAGGTGTCGGACTCCCACATGGCTTACTGTGGTTTAAGTTCTGGCCCGGGAGCTTACTTTCCCTCTCTCGCCCCCTCTCTCATTTTCTGGCCAAATTAAAAAAATAATGATAATAGATAAAATTAAATAATTCTTAAAAAAAAAAAAAAGAAATGAAGAAGAGACTGTGGCATGATCATGCCCCATGGGGGGGGTGCTTTTTCTTCTTGATGAGTGCTCACACCTTCTAGCAATAAAAATAAGTAAATAATC